AGGAAAAATGAGAAAAGAGGATGAATCAGTTGGAAGAAAAGTGCGTGAAACTAAAAGAAAGTATGGAAGGAGGAAACGAGGAGCAAAGAGGAAAAGAAATAAGCAATGAGGTTGAAATAGAGTATATGAGAGAAAAAATGGATTGAGAAACAGGATAAATAACTTAGAGGGGGGGGGGGGTAAGATGGGAAAGGAAGGGAGAGACAGAAGATTGGTTAAGGGAGGAGCTAGAAATGAAAGAGAAGAATAAGACAGCGGGCAGGGAGGATCGGGGAGAAAGAGGAAACAAGATGTGACAAATTAGATGCGCATCATGGAAACAAAAAGAAGGAATTATGAAGAGGAAAAAGAAGCTAGAACAGAAAAAGATCTACATTGATCAGGAGTGGACATGAAAGTAGAGGAAGATCAGAGAAGAAGTAAGAAGGAAAGCGAGAGAAATAAAAAGTAAGGATAAAGAGGTAAAGGTGTGGCATAACGGGGTGAAGTCAAAGGAAGAAGAATGATGGTGAAGCGAGAGGGAGGAAAAAACAATAGGAAAAAGAGCGGAAGGGTCTCGAAAACAATAGGGAAAAAAGAGAGATAGAGAGGGGGAGGGAAAGAAAGGGAAGAGAGGCATTAAAGATACTATTCTGGAACATGGCTGGGATTAGGAGCATGGAGGAAGACGAATGGAAATATGTTAGGGAATTCGATATAATAGGGCTAACGGAAACTTGGGTGAAGAGGAAAGGGGTAGAAACTGAGGTAGAGAAGTAATTGAAAGGGTATAACATAGATTGGTGAGATTCAAGAAGGGATGGAAGAAGGGGGAGAGAAATAAGGGGAGCAATAATGGCGGTATGAGAGAGGAAAGGGATGAGTAGGGTTGAATGGAAGAAAGAAAGAATAAGTGAGGTAATAGCAAGCGAAATAAAGATCGGAGGGAGGAAATATATGATAGCAACGGTGTTAAGCAACACGAGAATAAGCAACATGAGAAAAAGGGAAACTATGAATACCTAAGCGAAGAGATTAAGCAAATCAAAGGAAAAACAGTAATTATAGGAGGAGACTTCAATGCAAGAACAGGAAATGAAGGGAGAGAATGGGAGACAGAAGAAAACCTAGAAGAAATAAAAGCCAAGGATAAAGTGTTAAACGCAGAGGGAGAAGAAATGATAAAATGGTTAGGAGAAATGGGTTTAGTGTTAAGGAATGGGAGAAGAGAAGGAGATGAAGAGGGAGAAATAACATATATAGGTGCGAGAGGAATGTCAACGATAGATTATGTAGTACGTATCGAGGAAGTTGATGAGGCGATAAAAAGGGTTCAAATAAAAGAGATGGTAAAGTCGGACAACTTACCAGTAGAAGTGGACTTGGGACACAAAATAGCAGAAGAAAGACAAGAAAAGGAAAGAAAAGAAGAGGAAGAAAGAATGGTAGACGACTGGAGAGAAGAAGGCATAAGAGATTATCAGAGATGGATAGACGCAATAGAGGGAACAGAAAAATGGAAAGAGATAAAAAATAGAGTGAGGAATGCAGTCGTAAAAAATTAGATAAGAAAAAAAAAGGATCGGAAAAAAGCTGGTGGAGAGAAGAATGTAATATAAAAAGGGCTAGGGTGATGGCAGAGTTAAATAAGGTAAGAAAAGAGGAAGGAGGCAGAGGCAAATACCTAGAAGCAAAGAGAGAATACAGAGAGAAAATAAGAAAAGCGAAAAAAGCTGAAGGGAAAAGACTAGCAGAAGAAATAAGAAAAGATAAGACGAGAAGAAAATTCTGGGATAAAGTGAATTGCAATAGGAAGAAAAGAATTGGATTAGATGCAAATACAAGAAAAGAAGAATGGTTAAAGCACTTCAAGGGACAACTGGGAAAGGAAGAAAAGGAAGAAAGCAAAGGAGAAGAAACCGAAGACAGCGAAGGAGAGGAAGGTGAAGAAATCAAATTAAAAGAAGTAGAAGAGGTAATAACAAGAATAAAAAAGAAAAAGACGACACGAGAAGATGGTATAGCAAATGAAGCATGGATGGAAGGCACGGAAGGCTTGTTAAAAGATATTACAAAATGCTTAAATGGAATATGGAACGGATAAGGATACCCGGGAGAATGACGGAAGGGGAGAATAGTACCAATATATAAGAACGGGAGGAAAGAAGAAGTAGAAAACTATAGAGGAATAACGCTGATGGACACGGGATATAAAATATATGCGGAAATACTGAGGAAAAAGCTGGAAAGAGAACTAGAAATTAAAGAAACGCTAAGCGATATGCAGATGGGATTCAGGAAGAAAAGAGGAACAATGGACGCAACATATATATTAAAAACAATAATAGAGAAGAAAATAAGGAAAAAAGGAGGAAAACTGTTTGTATTCTTTGCCGACATGAAGGCCACTTTTGACAAGATAAAGAAGAAGAAAATATAGGAAACAATGAAAGAGAAAGGGATAAATAGAAAAATTAGGAAAAGAATAGAAGAAATATATAAGAAAACAGGGAGTAAGGTAAAAGTTGGAGGAGAAATAAATGGGGAGTTTGAGACTTACAAAGGCGTAACGCAAGGGTGCCCTTTGAGCACCACGCTATTTAATCTTGCCTTCGCCGACCTGTCAGTGAAGATTAAACAGGTGCAAGAAGGAAGGGTAGTGATAGGAAGGAAGAAAATATGGACATTAGCATATGCAGATGATATAGTGATGATGGCAAAGAGTGAAAGTGGAATGAAAGCAATGCTGAAAAAATTAAAAATATACCTGGAAGAAAGGGGATTAGAGTTCAATGTAGGAAAATCAAAGATGATGAAATGTAGGAGAGGAGGAGGAAGGAGGAAGGAAGAAGAATTCGAATGGAAAGGTGAGAAGATAGAGATGGTTAAAGAGTACAACTACTTGGGATATGTATTAAGCAGAAATAACGGAAAGAAAAAGCAGATAAAGAAGGTAGAAGGAAAAATGAATATCTGATTCGGAAGACTATGGGGGCTAGGAGAAAAGCTATTTAGAGAAAATTGGGAGCTAAGGATGAACCTGTTCGACGCACTGGCGAAAAGCGTAATTATGTATCAAGCAGAAATCTGGGGATAGAAGAGATATGAAGAAATAGAGAGATTACAACTAAAATGCTTAAACTGGGTATTTGGATTAGATAGAAACACGTCAAGTTATTTAATACGATGGGAAACAGGAAGACAAGAAATGAAAGAAACAGCATTAGAAAGAATAATGAGGTATAAAAACAAAATAAGACAAGAAAGACATGGGTCAATAAAAAAAAAAGCATGCAGAGAACTAAAGAAAAGAGAAAGAAATGAAAAAGATGAAAAGAGTAAGGAGGAGAGAGAGGAAAGGCTGGAAAAAAGTAAAATATACAGAGAGAGGGAAGAGGGAGATGAAATGAGGGAAGAGTTTTGGGAAGAAATAAGAGATGAGCTGAAGAAACAAGATGAAAAAGAACTAAAAGAAAAACTAGAAAAATCAAGATACATAAACGAGTGGAAAGAGCTGAAAGAAGAAATGAAAAGGTATAGGTTAAAGGAAATTCAAGGAGAGGAAAGAATAAAAGGCCTGCAAATAAGGGAAAGGTTTAGGTTCGGTAATGAAACGAGAGGAAGCAGGTATTGGGAAAAAGAAGAAAATAAGAGATGCAGAATGTGTATGAAAGAGGAAGAAAATTGGAAGCACATAGTCGAAAAATGTGAAGAAATTAGAAAGGAAGGGGAAGAATGGGAAAAAATAATAATAGGAAGCAAAGAAAAGATAGCGTGGATGATGGAGATAAAATGGAAAAGAAGAAGAAACGAAGAGAAGAAAAAGAAAAACAAGAAGATCAAATTTCAAGATCCTAAGGACAGAAGGAAACAGAAGACAGAGACGCAAGACTCGCAGACACATCTACATACGCAAACATACACACAAAATACACACACATACACAAAACACAAGTACTAGCAACTACACAAGCGAGAGGAAGCAGGTATTGGATGCAGGAGCAAAAATGGAAAAGAAGAAGAATCGAAGTAGAGAAAGAAAAAGGAAAACAAGAAGACATATTATAAGATAATAAAGAAAATAAGTGAGGTTTAGGAAATGAAAGGCAGAGGGAGCGATAGGAAATGGTCAAAAGGTGTCAAAGCCCTAATAAGGAGAAAGACAGATGAAATGATTAGCAAGAACGAGAGCAAAAGCAAAGGTGAAATGGCAAAAGAAAGTAACAAAGGAAGAAGTTGAAAAGAAAATAAGCAAGAAGGAGAAAAACAGAAGAGCGAAAAAGGCAGATCTCGGAGAGAGAGAGGAAGAGATGATTAATCAACAGAAAAATAGGAAGAAAAGCTGAACAGACTGGCGCAGACGACGGAGATGCAAGAGTTGCAGACACACCTACATACGAACACATATACACAAACCACATACACACACATATACACACACAAAACACATACATTATCAACTACACAAACTGGACAATACGTACAAATAATAATGTAAGAAATGAAAACCAAATGTAACATATAAGTTGTAATTAAATAAACTATAAGTTAATAAGTGTCCTGACTTAAAAAAATTTTGGTCACCATGAAACATTTTCATTGAGAAACTCTGGACTTATCTTTTGACCTTCGTATTAGCAAAACAACATACAAAAATAGGAGTTACGTTATTGCTATTAAAATATTCTATAGATTATCCAAAGACTTACAATTTACGTGATTTAAAAAAAATATAAAACTAAAACTATAAAATAGATGGCAAATAATGTCTAATAGTCTTTATGATGCATGATGTAATATAGCTTTGTTACTAATTATTATATTTTTAAGATTAAGTTTACAGTATTTGAGTATAATAAAGACGAAATGAGAAAAGATTTCCCAACTAATCAAGAAGAAATTCCTCTTCTGTAAGCTGGTGGTGAACTATTTCGTACTAATTAACCACTTGTACATTATAAGATAAATAAATAAATATTTATAGTAAATAAATTATAGTAAATAAATAAATATTTACTTACTGAGTATGTACTGACGTGCTTATCCAGAACGACAAAGCGGTTTCTAGCTACCCAAATAGCGGTTATCCCAGAGGCTCGTTTAGCATCAGGTTCTGTATTATCATTATCAGATGGTAAAATGTATAAGTCATAAGTGCTATTTTCAATATTTGATACCCTAGTGCATACTAGTATTGAATTTTCGGCTGGGTTGTATGACATACTATGAGCGGGAATTTTTCCGCTTCCTCTAATTTGTATAATAGAACTGTCTTTAGCTGAGCTAAAATCTAATTTGCGTAAAAACCGTTCTTTAATGTAATATAGTACATTTCCATATACTGTAAATGCAGGTCGTTCTCTCTCTAATTTAAAAATTATCATGCCAGAATCATGTCCAGCAGCAAATAAATTCAATGTTGGATGAGCTGCAAGTACCCAAAATCTTTCATGTTCTCGACGAAAAGTATGTAAACATGTTCGTTTTGTCATATCCCAAATGCGAATACTCTTGTCCTCTGAATCTGACAGTATTATATCTTGACGAGGATGAAATAATACACAAGACACATTATTATAATGACCGCGACATGTATCAACTTCCCACGCTTTAGAGTCATTCATTCGCCACATTTTAATCTGTCTATCGTCTGCACCAGAAACAATTAATGGTAATGTTGGATGAAAACTAGCCCAGTTTACGCCACGATCATGTCCTTCTAAAACATGTTTAACTAAAGCATCAGCTTGTCCGAACAAATCTGTTGCACCAGGATTCTTCAAATGTTCATCTAAACCCGCAGGTCCAGGTGCGACATTTTTTTTGCGTAATCCTGAAATATCCCATACTCTAACTGTTTGGTCAAGTGATGCCGACACTATGATATCTTCAAAGGGATGAAACTGAGCACACATTACATAGTGGTTGTGCCCTGTCAGAACACAAATACATGCTCGACTTTGCCAATTCCAAACTCGAATCGTTTGATCATCTGACGCGCTTAATATCCAAGGATATTCATGATGGAAAACAGTTGTTCTTATATAATCTAAATGTCCCAGGAGAGTAAATATGCATTTTCGTTGCTTATAATTCCAAATTTTTATTTTGTAATCATCTCCTCCCGAAACAAAAAGAGGTTGTTGATTGTGGAAACAAATTCCTCGCACTGGCCCATCATGTTCATCGAATTTATCGAGCAAGGTGCACATACGGTAGTCATATAACTGTATTATACCGTTATGTAAGCTAGAAAAAAATTTAGATAAAGGTAAATAAAATAATTAATTAAACTAAATATATATTAATGTACCACATTTCAATTTAACTCAGAATTAATTCAATATATAAATATATTATTTTCATTAGTATTCTTAATTTTGCATAGTGTAATAACAAAAGAATGTGAAAATTCTTGCCGTTATACAAACAAAAGTTTCGCTCTTATGTCTATAATTTAAATAGTACAAAGAAAGTATCTAAATACCTTTAGATATCATCAACGATTCTTAACTCTTTAACTAACAATGGATCATATATGTACATATGTGAATAACTTTTATAATTTGTATTGGATGTGAACTAAATTTGGTATATAACTATTTTTGAGGTTACTAAATTCTAATCTGACATGAGCATTGCAACATTTTTCTCTAAATCTGGTATCCGCCAATATCATATATAATTATGCATGTAGTTATAACTAATGTTTTTAAGGGTTTTTGAGTGTACGAGTACTGATCATATTTCTATCATTATATTCGACTACAAAATCAGCAAAAGGGAAGTAGAATTTGAAGCGAGGAAATTGTTTTTGTAATCATAAAATGGTTTTTTCTAATCATTCTTCTGCAAATGAAAATATATTTATTATGAAATACTGAAGCATGAGCAACAAATATAAATAGTATATTTTAAATATATTTTACAAGTAAAAAAAACAAAACAAATTTATATTTATAAAAAAAAATTTATTTTGACTCTTGCTTTTAACCCTTATTTTCAATTCCAAAAAAACTAATAGCTGTCTCTAAAAAGCGTAAAATTCAAGAAAAAGAAACACAATCAAAATTTCCCCCCTAATCCCTATTTTTAATCCTTTAGGTAGGTTGTTGGTTAAAAATAACTATGGAAATGAATTCAGCGGGTCCGAAAATCCTTAGGAATCATATTCACATACATCTAGAAGTATGAACTTTGGCTGCCAGTTTTAGCACTAAAAGTGAGAAAAGTTTTACCATTTAAGGGGTTAAAGTTGTTTCCGTTATAATAGAGATAATGCGTATGAAATTATATTATATTTGTTATTTAAGAAAGTTATAATACAAAAGATACCTATTATAGCTTTGCTTTTACAAGGAAACGTAGTTGTGAAATAGAGAAAATAATGAACTTGACTCTTGTTTGAGCAACCGGAGAGGTAAGAGTTATTTACCTACGTAATTAAGCGCGAGTATTTATTATCATATGTTCTACTATTTTTATTAATTACGAGTATATACGAGGTGTGTTCAAAAAGTAAGGTGACTTTGTATTTTTAAGAAAAAATATTTATTTATTTATCAATATTTATGTTGTTCCCTTCAAAGTAATCCCCCTCAGATACAATACACTTATGCCAACGGTTTTTCCAATCCTCAAAGAACTTCTCATAAGCACTTTTCGGAATAGCCTTCAGCTCTTCCAGCGATGCAGTCTTTATCTCTTCAATCGTTGCAAATCTCCGTCCTTTCATAGATCTCTTTAGTTTTGGGAACAAGAAAAAGACACATGGGGCCAAATCCGGTGAATATGGTAGCTGAGGCATGATTGTGGTGTTGTTTTTGGCCAAAAAATCTCTCACAAGCAAAGATGAGTGAGCAGGGGCATTATCGTGAGGCAAAAGCCATGAATTATTTTTCCACAATTCTGGGCGTTTTCTTCGTATTGCTTCTCGCAAACGGCGCATATCTTCAAGATAATACTGTTTATTGACCGTACGTCCATATGGTAAGAACTCCTGATGCACCACGCCATGGTAATCGAAGAAAACAGTGAGCAAATCTTTGACATTTGATCGAACTTGGCGTGCTTTTTTCGGTCTTGGCTCATCTGGGCTCTTCCATTGAGACGATTGTACTTTGGTTTCGATATCATAACCATATACCCATGATTCGTCACCAGTTATGACCCTTTTGAGTAAATCTGGGTCGTCGTTGACGTTATTCAACAGTTCTTGAGCGATGCTCATGCGACGGTTCTTTTGGTCAAAATTTAGCAATTTCGGAACAAACTTCGCTGACACACGTCTCATGCCCAAAACGTTAGAAAAAATTTCATGGCACGAGCCAAGCGATATACCAACATCCTCAGCAACTTCTCTGATAGTGATTCGACGATTTTTCAGAACAATTTTCTTCACTGCTTGAACGTTTTCATCAGTTGTTAACGTGCTTGGGCGTCCAGAGCGAGGTTCGTCATTGGCATCTTCCCGGCCATCTTGGAAGAGTTTGTACCACTTGTAAACATTTTTTTTACTCAGAACAGTTTCACCGTATGCCACCGTCAACATTTCAAGTGTTTCGGAGCACTTTATTTTATTTTTTACACAAAATTTGATGCAAATCCTTTGATCCATATTTTTCGATAGCAAGAAATCACCGAGCACGCAAAACACTTATAACCTTTACGCCTCTCACAACCAAACAAAAAATGCTATACACTTGAAACTTGGTACAGATGTTTGGGCAGAGTGTACCAACATAACAAAACAAAAAAATCGATAATCGAAAGTACGTTTCCCGTGAAATTTGAAAAGTCATCTTACTTTTTGAACACGCTTCGTATACACACACGTATTTTTTTCTGCTGTGTAGATAAAAAATAATCTGGATTTCAAGATTTGAAGGAGAAAATCTAAATAAAAGTGGTTTTCAAGACAGCGTTCTTAAGTAAATAAAATTATGATCTCTGAGTACAAAGATATTTATCAATTGATCGTCTCTGTACTGAGAGATCATTATAATAATCGTTATAATTATATTTTAGTAAGTATTGTAATGAGGGAGGTTATCTAACAAAATGGAAAATTTATTTAAGAACAAACTCCTATGATGCAGAGCTAACCGCCGCTCCGTTAAACACGTATAGTTGAACTTGTATTCACCTTTACGTCAGATGATTTCGTTTTGGTGTCTTCTTTCTAACTGAGTTGAACTCACCTTAAGTCACTTGACTTGTGACACTCGATGTATCTTAGGTGTGAGTGACTTTATGCCTAATCGGCTTAATCCCTTAGATGAAATCGGATTAAAACCTAAGCCTTTATAAATCGCTTAAGCTAATAGGAAATGAAATGACGTAATCGGTGAATAAAATTAACTAACTGTAATTAATAAAAACTACAGTCTTTTATGGGTCGAAAGACTAACGCACGCGATTAGGATTTACAATGAATTATTAATATTCGGTGAGAGAGAGAGAGAAGATTCGAAAATTACCGCGAAACTAACGTTCGGCGCGAATACAAAAAGATTCGATATGGCGTTTGACAAAATACCTTCGACTGTATTTTGTCACGCAATAATAAAGGGAGGTGCACCTACCCTGCGGTGCAATTACGGTGATTAGCCGTAATTATTAACGAAAGAAAATTAACCGCCGACACTCCTCCAATAAATCTGCTGCGCTGCCTCGCTCTCTTATCCGCTACAATTTGCTACTTCTGCACTGCTGCTGCTTGTTGCCGCGGTAATGCCGTTGCACTCACGCACGTAAAATCGTCTCAGAAAATTTTATAATCGGCAAAACACAATGCGAAATAATTTGGCGGTATTGTCGCGAAAACAGCTGAGACGTAACTGCCTATTTCAAACGCTCGCGACTCCTCTCTCTCTCTCTCTTAATCGTTAGAACTAATGCGCGAGTAACAGAATCGCGAACAGATCGATTAATTGAATCGACTACCGTTGCAGTATTAACATTTTTTTCAATTTCGATGTGAGAAATTTTCTACAAACAAATACAAACACTATCTAATTTATAAAAACCAGCGTTTCATTGATTACATATGTTAGTCTAATTTGAGTTCCTTTTTCCCAGACGGGTTGCATTCCCCACAGAACGCCCAAAAGTAAAAATGCCGATGAGACGTGATTCCAAACATGTAAAAAAATCAAAGTCTGTAAACATTTTTATTAATTTTTTTTTTAACTCTAAAAAACGGAAAAAAGTTAGTTAAAAAAAACTATAAAAAATCAACTTTCTGCGCAGAAAGTAACAAAATCGTTTACATAAAGAAATCGCATGAATACCGTAGGTCCAATAATGGGTGCAGATCAGACGTATACATTTTTTTAAGTTATTGAAATTTTTTTTAGGTAATAAAGTTAAGGTATACCAAGACCGATAAATAATAAACATAATGTAATATTGTTTTTTAAAAACAATATTTGGACAAACAAAAATTTTTTTAATCATTATTATCATTTATTGATCTTTAAGGAACAAAAACGTGTTCCTTTTATTCTTTTTAAACGATTCGATCTGGAAAATCGGCTTGATTGAACGCTTTGAAAATCGACAGGGCTTTTGAGTATGTATTGTGCTAAAAAATATCTACAAACATACAAACGTGAAAATCTCCTTATCTCCTAGCCTTTCAATAGATACACGCATGCCTCCAGCTCACTAAGTTTAATAATAACCTCTTATTTTATGATAAATTTTGTAATGATGGATCGAAGGGAAATAGTAATCGATGGAAAATCACTTGATTTTAATTATATTCAGCAACGTTTCGTCATCACATTTGTTGACCTCTTCAGGCTTTATTAATAAAAAAAACACAACAAATTATTAACAATAGAGTTTTCACAAGTAATTTTAAAAATATATAGTTACAAGTATATGAGTATACCTGATTTCTCCCGTAGTCAAATAATTATAGGCTAAAACGAAAAAATCGTAGCACAGTCAAAATTAAAGTGAGAAATCAAGTATTTCAACTCATATATACGAGGGTCGTTTGAAAAGTCCGTGCAAAAATAAAAGCTGCTTGATTTTTTTTAATGAATCTTTTTTATTTTTCAACATAGTCTCCTTTTAGGCTTAAACACTTCATCCAACGCTGCTCTAGTTTGTTAATCCCTTCCAAATAATAGGATTTTTCCAAGTCTGTAAAATAGGCATTCGTTTCTGCAATCACCTCCTCGTTTGAATAAAATCTTTTCCCCGCAAGCCATTTTTTCATATTAGGGAACAAATAGTAG